AACACTCTGTCACACAGTGGCCAAAAATACCAGGTGCCATCAGGAGGTCCATCAGTGGGGCCAGGACACTAGAAGCTCTTTCACTGTTGCCCCCCCCCCAAGCACCAAGAATACAGTGCATCCCTTGCCCCATATTGAGAGTTCCTATCTATACCTTGTGGCTAAGAGCCACTGATGGACCTCTGCTCCATATGCTTATCTAATTCCCTCGTGAAGCCGTCCATGCTTGTAGCCGCCGCCACCTCCTGTGGCAGTGAATTCCATGTGTCAATCACTCTTTGGGTGAAGAAGTACTTCCTTTTATCCGTTCTAACCCGACCGCTCAGCAATAGTGGAGTGCCCACGTGTTCTTGTCTTGTGAGAAAGGGAGAAAAGTACCTCTTTCTCTACCTGCTCTATCCCACGCATGATCTTATAAACCTTGATCATGTCACCCCTCAGCCGTTGTTTCTCCAAGCCAAAGAGCCCACTCACTTGCTTCTGCTCCCCCCACCTTCTGCACTGAGACCCTGGGTTTCTGGGTTTTAGCCTTGGAAGCCTCTGCTTGAGTCGAGTCCCCCCGCAGAGCCTCACCATACACAGTCAGAGGTTTGACGGGCAGTGAGAGTTTCTGAGGTGGCGGTTTGTGCTGCGGGGTGGATGGCTGTAGCGGCGCTTGTCCTGGCAGCTCCAACAGCTGCTCCTGGCATTCTTAGTGGCAGCGTGTGCAGCCGCGTGGTTTCCCTTGGGCTCCTGAGTATTCTACTAGGGATCTGTAAGTAGAGAACGCCGTTTGTCTTTTCTTTTGGGGGGGGGATTTAAGTATCGCATGTATACTTTTTTAAACATGTAAGATTTTTCTGCACTCCTGGGGAGTGCCCCAAGAGTGCTGAAATATGTTTTTGCCCCCTATGTGCCCCAGATCGACGGAAATAAGTATCCACACGCACAGAGAACTGTTGGCTATTAGTATATAGACAAAAAGCGGGGACCCGCGATACTCACAGGGGGGATACTCTTGTTTGTCTGTTTTGTTAAAATAAAAAATAGTTTAAAAAAAAAAATACCCTGGGCCCTACTGACTGCAGTCACCTCTGAATGGCCATAAAACGGCCATAAATATATGCAGACAGTATTGAGAGATCAAACAAAGTGAGAAGTGAAAGCTGCACATTCCGGTTATGTCAGGGGGTGTGGCATATGCAAATTAGTTATGCTAATGAGTTAGGCTAATGAGCTCCTGCACGTCTTTTTCTAGGGAAATGACCCCTGTAACTAGGTAAGAGAATCGAAAATGGTCATTCTTAAAAGATTTGTTGCAATTGCTGTGTGTCATCCTGTCCTCTAGAGTGCGGATGCTGCCACATTACAGTTATCCACAGGCATGAGGAACATAAAGGCATGAAGAAATAAGATAAACTCCAAGACCACTCGGGATGAGAGCAGTACTCGTCTTATGGGGGGGAGGGATAGTGTTTCTGTGTCAGCATAGAACAGGGCTTCCCCACCACCACCCATCAGAAAGATGGGATTTAAACAGATGTAAATAGCAATACAGCAAGTAAAATAATAATGTATCCTTTCTCATAAAAATTGAAACATTTTAATTTTTGGACCAATTTTAATTGGTCAGCATATGAACAGAAAGGGAAACTAGCCAGTTCTTAGCTATAGATGTACCAACTACACTTCCCAATATAAATCCACGTTTGTGACATCAGGTAAAGAGTTATCCAATTACAATTAGTTTTCTACAGCTGCGGTGGCTCAAGTGGTTAAGACGCTGAACTGTAGGCTGTGGAAGGTCGGTAGTTCAGCAGTTCGAGACCCGAGTGCGCCACATGACGGAGTGAGCTCCCGTCTCTAGTTCCAGCTCCTGCCAACCTAGCAGTTCAAAAGCAAGACATTGCAAGTAGATAAATAGGTACCACTTCGGTGGGAAGGTCACAGTGTTCCGTGTGCCTTGGTGTTTAGTCATGCCGGCCACATGACCACGGAAACGTCTTCGGACAGCACTGGCTCTTCGGCTTTGAAACGGAGATGAGCACCGCAACCCTAGAGTCGGACTCGACTGGCTTTCGAGCAAGGGAACCTTTGCCTTTACCTTTTTACATTTCATAGCAACCAGCATTAAATACACATACACATTACTGTAATGACTCAAACAGCCAACATCTCCGGCCATTGCCCTTTGATATCATCAATACTAGAAATATTTGCTTCCAGGCACATTTAACATGTTATGCTTCAAAAAAAAAAGCCCGCAGCCGGACCAGTTTACCTGCTGGTTCATATATTATATACTGCTTGAATTGCTAAGTGATTTGTAATTCATGTACTTGGAAGTGACCAAATGTTTGTGCTAGGCAAAACCAAGGCTGAATAAATTCTATGCATGTACTGGGTTGCTTAGGTAATCCTGGGAAGCCTCAACTTTTCCCTTGGTTTGGTTTTTAAAACACTCAAAGGAAAAACTCACACCCTCATAAGAACATAAGAGAAGCCAATGTTGGATCAGGCCAATGGCCCATCCAGCCCAACACTCTGTCACACAGTGGCCAAAAATACCAGGTGCCATCAGGAGGCCATCAGGAGGTCCAGCAGTGGGGCCAGGACACTAGAAGCCCTCCCACTGTTGCCCCCCCTCCCCCAAGCACCAAGAATACAGGGCACCCCTTGCCCCAGACTGAGAGTTCCTCTCTAGACCTTGTGGCTAATAGCCACTGATGGACCTCTACTCCATATATTTATCTAATTCTCTCGTGAAGCCGACCATGCTTGTGGCCTTCACCACCTTCTGTGGCAGTTAATTCCATGTGGTAATGGATTGCTAGCTATGGGGGGGGGGCATGCAGATCTGCCCTCACAGAGGAGGGAGAGCTTGTACCTGAAGGGGGGGCTCTGCAACTTACCTGGCTGCTTCTTGCTCCTCATGGCCCGACTGAGGGCTGCTGGGAGCAGGGGGCGGGGCTTGTGGCATGTGCCCGCCCCCTGAGCTCCTTACTGCCGGAGCTCCGCTCCTGTGCGCTCTCGCAGGAAATGACCCCTGAGCAGAGCAGATGGTAGATGCAGAATGGGCCCTTTTCAGGAAGGTCAGGCAGGTAGCCGGCGCAGGACCGGGGAGTGTTCTTGCTCTGCATTCCTGGAGTGCAGCTGGACCAGGGGCAGGGTCTCGGAGCCTGTGGGTGCTCTGAAATTGCAGGAGCCGGCCCCTCCTGTCCTCCCTTCAACCCTGATTCTCTCCCACTTCTCAAGGTCTGCATCCCACATATCTTTCCCTGCCTGCACTCATAAGAACATAAGAGAAGCCAATCTTGGATCAGGCCATTATTATTAATTTATTTATTAAGTCGATTTTTACCCTCCCCTCCCCGCCGAGGCAGGCTCAGGGCGGTTTACACAAGAAACAATAAATAAGACAACGATATAAATATGAATATGAAATACACAAAATTAAAACCATTAACGTAAGGATGGCGGTATAGCTGTAATAAAGGGCGATCAGGTCAATGGCCCATCCAGTCCAACATGGTTCCATAGCTTCCCTTTTATCTTGACACAGCAGTCCTTTGAGAATTAGAAATTTAGATGCAGAATTCGGGCTCAGGCTGGAAATAGAATTGGCACAAGGCGTAGATGATAACACAGCTCCTTAACTAAATGCCTGGTGAAAGAGCTCCGTTTCCATGGCCCTGCGGGACTATATGGGAATGGGTGTAGTAGTTCAGTGCGAGGTGGGTTTAGGTTCTGTTTCACTATTGTAATCTGAACAAAAGCTGATCCAGTGCAAGTTTTACTTTTATCGGTTGCTCTTTTTCTAGTGGGGTAACTCTGCTTTCTATGCATATAATGCTTTCTAAAATACCATAGAAAGTGGGGCAGGATGGGAGAAGCTACCCTGTAATAACTAGCCATAATCTAAAAAGAGATTGGATTTATACCCCACCCGTCACTACCCAGAGGTGTCTCAGAGCGGCTCTCAAACGCCTTTCCCTTCCCCTCCCCACAACAGACACACCCTGTGAGGCAGGTGGGGCTGAGAGAGCTCTGACAGAAACTGCTCTTTTTCAAGGACAGCTCTTGTCAGAACGGTGGCTTGCCCAAGTGCCAGGTGCAAGTGGAGGAGGAGTGGGGAATCAAACCCAGTTCTCCTAGAGTCTGCGCACTTAACCAGGACACCAAACTGGCTCTCTTCTCTAGGCAAACATATCTGTGCAGCTCTTCTGCTGAGTTTCCTGAACTCCATTTACTTTCTGGTATATTCAGGAGTACAACCTCTGGATTTACCTCATGCATGTCTGCGGTCACTGCCTAAGAGAATGTGTGTAACCTGTATGAACACACCTTCATAATGCAAAAGGTATAAGGTGCTGGTGGGGACGCCTGGATGTTTGCTAAAATGTACATGTGCAGGGAAATTAAGAGGGAGCTTTTAAAAAATCACGCAATGCCTTCTAGTCTTCCCATGCGTGCGGCGCAAGGGAGAATAGGATCTCCCGCAAGCTCAACTGCCGCTCAGTTCCAATCATTCACCTGAATAGACGGAAGCAGAGTCTGACACAAGGTTTGTCCAAACCACCAGTCATCGCTAAATAGAACCTGCCAGTTTAGAGGAAGTTAACTTCTGATCATTTGCTTCTGGGGACAAGAAGAGGAGATTGGATTTATACCCCGCCCTTCGCTCGGAGCGGCTTACAATCTCCTTTCCCTTCACCTCCCCTCAGCAGACACCCTGTGAAGTAGGCGGGGCTGAGAGAGCTCTGACAGAAACTGCTCTTTTTCAAGGACAGCTCTGACAGAACTACGGCTTGCCCAAGGTCATCCAGCAGCTGCAAGTGGAAGAGTGGGGAATCAAACCCAGTTCTCCCATTAGAGTCCGCACACCTAACCACTACACCAAGCAAGGGACAGCTAGCATGCTTGCTGCACAATCTGCCTAGCTGCTGTTGGAAATAGGGTTCTGGACAAAATGGGTTCCCGCTCTGAATTCACAGGGCTTCTACGGTTCTCAGGGAAGCAACAGAAACGGCCAGCCAAGCAACCTACTTGGGACAGGCCAGAGAGCCATCAAGGTTCACGGCAACGTTACAGCTTCCATTTCCGTTTTACCTTGGGAATTATCAATGTCGAGTCACTTGAGTGACAGCCATCCTGTCTCCCAGTTGACATTCCATTGTTGGGTTCTATTTTTGCTGGATGGGGATTCTATGTGCCAGGCTGCGCTACTCATTAAAACACTGATAGGCCTCCTACTGCAAGACCTTCCACTGTCCATCTGAGCCTCTTGACCACAGGTGTCGAACTCATTTGTTATGAGGGCCGGACCTGACGTAAATGAGACCTTATTGGGCCGGGCCGGGTGTGTCATAAAATGTAATGCCAGGCAGGGGAGATATAAACTTTATAAAGGACACAAACACAGAGGGTGGTTTTTTTAACTTAAAATAAAAACATGCTTAAAACATCAGCACTCTTGTAACATTTTGTTTATTTAACAGTGTCTGAAAACTGACACCTCTTGCTCTGAATTATTGCATCCAAATGTCTGTGCTGTTGCAACCGTGAGTATGCTGCTCAGGTGTGTATCTGTAAGCCGCAAACCTACGATGACGTAGCAGCAGCAGAACTGGAAGCAGCAGCAGAAGACAGCCAGTTCCACTGCGGGCCTGATAGAAGCCCTCTGGGGGCCTAATCCGGCCCCCGGTCCGCATGTTTGACACCCCTGCTCTTGACTCTTGTAGAAGAAACATGAAATCAAAGCTATTCAAAGGCCAGAAATGATTCCCCTTTCCAATCGTATCCTTTTTTTTTGCAAGTATGTTAATAATTGTGATAAATAGGGAATAAATGACATATGAAGAGCCATGAAAGCAGCAAGTTACAGCTAGAGTATCATTGTTTCCAGAGCCTTACAAAAGGTATGCTTGCACAAGCTAAGCTCTGGAGAGTGTCTTAAGCAAGCCGCTCCATTGAAATAGCTCCAGCAACAGTTTTGGCTATCAAATGGAGCAGACGTTGGACATTAGATTAGAAGCGATGTTCGTTCACTCCTTGTCTGTGCAAGGTACTACAAGAATAAATAACTTCATACAGAAATGGCATAGCCTCCAAGGATACTTTCCACATTTTATTTACATTTGAAGACTAACTTTATTCTCAATCACATTTTCCATACACCTATTTCCTTTTTTTTGTTTTGTTTTTTGTTTCGTTTCACTAAAACTTAAATGTATGGTTTATTAGAACAAAGACTGTAAACAAATATTTTGCAATGTCCATTACATGTAACACACAGGAGCCGCTTAAGAGAAAAATCATTCCCTCGTTTTATAAATACAAGTATCAAAACAATCCTGACTGTATTCTGTGACACTACCAGCATTCAGCACCCACACCTTTGCAAAAAAAAATAAAATAAGATAAACAAGTTGAGCAATGGTAGTTGCAGTACCCGCTACTTTAAAAACAATTTCATCTGCAGCTCTTTTACTAAAGCAAGATGGATAAAGCATGCCGTTTTTTATTTCTTTTTTCTTCTCGAGAAAAGGCTTTTTTCCCCCTGAAACATCTTACTCCATGGCAATCTGACACTTCCTGTCATACTTTCGTCTTGAAACACTGGCGCGCCGATTTTAGGCTACTTCAGGCTTATGTTAAAATGATCGCGCCTTGCTAAAGAGGGAAACAAAATGTGTTGCCTTTTCTCTCTGATTGTGCCTGAAAACATATGGGGCATACATATATATATATTCTTTCATATGTCCAGATAATGTACACCAGAAGAAACTCTTTAATGTGTGGGTGGTTTTGCATTGTGAGATTGAATCAAGACATTAACATAAGTAGAAGTTGTTTTAAGACAAGTTTGGGATTCAGCTAAAATTAATTGTTGTAAGTTTGTCCTTCTGGAGGTTGTGGAAGCTTCATATTTTCTTTGGACATCAATAGACGCCTTAGCTCTTGAAGTATAACTTTAATGCTATAAGAATTTTGCCATTTTGCTAACACTGGTATGCTCCGCGCATCCACCTGTGAAGAAAAGAAATCATAGATTTAAATAAGAAGTAAGGAATATGGGATACCTGATTTCACCATTCTAGTATCATTCTTGTGTTTCAGTTTATTTCTATTACAGTCCTTAGACCAGATATGCTTACATACATACATACATAAATACATATAAATAAAAATTACAGATAAAGCATTCTAGAAAATTTAAAAACGAATATAAACATTTTAACTATAAAATAAAATGCTTCCAAGTAAAATGCATCCGAGACTAGCATAAAAGTTACACTTATGTTCCCTCTGAGCTGTGGAGTCTTGTGAGCAGGAATACTACTTTGTGAGCTACTGGCATTAAATTGTGAGCGAGAAATTTGGCTCCTGCATAAATTAGTTTGCTCTGGAGCCATCCTTCCTGAGCTGAGACAAAAATGTGTGAGCTGGAGGCTAAAAAACTGTGAGCTAGCTCACACTAACTCAGCTTAGAGGGAACACTGCTTACAACTAACCGCTAAACAATTTCCATGACCTAAGCATCACCTTACAAAATCTGGCTACCTGATAAGTAATCTTGGGATGTTTGTCAATTAAAAGGAATTCAGGTTTAGTTTTTTTCTGGCAGTCCTGAGGTTTTTTCCTATCAGTGGAGTGATAATCTCTCTACGGGCCACCTCATAGTGTGGAACATATGTTCTAAGGTCTCCATCTCCCTGAGCGGGCAGGTGCAAAGCCTTTCCGCGTAAGGAATGTCCTTACATTTCCCATCAAGTACAGCGGAAGGGAGGGACACATTCTTGTGTTTAATTTTCAAACACCAGAAGGTGGGACAATACAGCTTGGTGATGAAGAGGAAGAAGAAGAAGAAGAGGAGATTGGGTTTATACCCCGCCCTTCACTACCCAAAGGAGTCTCAGAGTGGCTTACAAACTCCTTTCCCTTCCGCTCCCCACAACAGACACCCTGTGAGGTAGGTGGGGCTGAGAGAGCTCTTGACAGAAACGGCTCTTTTTTCAAGAACAGCTCTTATCAGAACTACAGCTTGCCCAAGGTTCCATGTACATAAGTGATCATGGAAACTGGTTCCATGTACGGAAGGGATCATTACACCTTGTCACACAGCATCATGGGGGTATATAATTAAGGTGAAGAGTTGTTGGCTCTCGTTATGCAAGAATTTAATTATTGTGGCAGTAAAAAAAATATTTACGGGGTAGGGTAAGCACGGCTGCTAAAATATAAACGACTGAAAAAGGAAGGTGAGGAGGTTTATGGTTAGGCTAGGCCGCCACTGCTTTAAAGCAGCACATTCCACAGACACTTGTAAATATTGGATTGTGTCCAAGTATACACGTGCTGCGTTCTGTTCTCAGAATGGAATTTTCCTGCCTCCCCTCCCCCCACAGCTCCCTAAATGCTGCCTCCAGGGTTCCCTCTAAGCTGAGTGAGTGTGAGCCAGTTCACAGGTTTTTAGTCTCTGGCTCACACATTTTTGTCTTAGCTCAGGAAGGAGGGCTCCAGAGCAGGCTAATTTATGCAGGAGCCAAATCACTTGCTCACAATTTTAATGCCAGTAGCTCACAAAGGAGAATTTTTGCTCACAAGACTCCACAGCTTAGAGGGAACATTGTCCCTTCCCTCTAAAAGGTAAAGGTAAAAGTTCCCCTTGCTCGAAAGCTAGTTGAATCTGACTCTAGGACTGCGGTGCTCATCTCCGTTTCCAAGCCGAAGAGCCGGCGCTGTCCGAAGACGTTTCCGTGGTCATGTGGTTCAGTTTAGGCAACTGCAGGGGAAGCAAGCACATCCTTTCCTACCCGTCGTACTCTTCAGTCATTTTTGTGTGTAAAGCGAAACAGGTTGCTCATCATGCATTTCAACTTACCATTCCATTGGAATTATTTATTCCATTCATATTAATTTTAGTTACAAATCTAACTGTTGGAGGTGCTTCTGGATATTTAGGACCGCACTCTACCTTCAAGCTGTATATTCTGTTTTCATAATTTGTCTAGTAAGGAAAGAGAAAGAATCAGTCATTACATGAAAGTTAATGCACTTGCAAAAGGCACTGTTAACATACTGAAACGAAGCCAGTTGACCCGATTCCGGTGAACAGGTTGAAGCCCCGTCCAAAATGACTAAAATGGATCATCAGATAAGCTGCTGATGACTTCCGGTATGGCGCGACGACGGGAGGGAGCGCGGGCGTGAGCTCCGCTCCTCCCGAGCTCTTTCGTTCTTATTCGGGCCCCCCAGGGATGGGGGAGCACGACCCGCAGTTTCGGGAAGAGATTGCGGGAGCATGGGGCTTCTTGCTGGACCCCCCCCGAGCTTGGCAAGCGGAGGGGTGCTCCAGAACTGCCCTGAAGCAGGAACGGGAGAAGGCGAAGAACATGGCCGCCATGTTCTTCTGAGTTGCTGCCTCCGGGACTGTTTTTAATTCTTTGTGTGTGTGAAGAAATACGTCGCATTGTTAAACTGTTCTGCTTGTATAAGAAATACCCCTGGAAAGATTTCACATATTTATGAAAAAACCGGCCGTAAGGATTTGACGTGAGGAACTGTGAGTAACGAGATATGTAGGGGGGAGGCGTTTTTTGAGCATCAGTACTTTGATAAAAGGGGGGGGGAAGGCTACAAATAAACTTGTCTGTGAGGGTGAGAGACGAGTGGAAAGGAGGTTATAGATATGGAAGACACTATGGAAAGAGAAACAGAAAAAACAGTTGGAGAACTTTCCTGGGATGATCTTAAAAATTGGTTCGCGGAGGAAGTGAAGCGGACATTTACAGAGACACGTGTGAAAGTTCTGAGAGATGCTGTAAAGGAGGTGTTGGAAGTGAAAGGAAATAAGGAGGAATGGCAAGAAACGAGAAGGCAAGAGGAAGGGTTGGAAAAAGAGAAGGAGAAGGAATTGCAGACTTCCCAGAGATATTTGGTTGAGGAAGAAAGGCAGGAAGCTGACCCCGATAGGGAAGTTTCGAGGAATCAAAGAACATCTAAGCTACGAGCAAGGAAAAAGAGACTGTTACCAGACTTGATGAAGGATAAAAGGAAGAAGGCCAACAGGGAAAAGAAAGTAAAGAAAGAAGTAAAGAACTTTAAAAACTTATGGCAAACATTTATTGGGAACAATGAAAGAGACAAAAGGGAAATGGAAATGGAAATAGATGAGTACAAGGACAGAAGGCACCGGGAAGAGAACAGAGAAAACCAAGTTAGAAAAGAGCTGAAATATTATGAGGACTGTGTTAGTAAAGTTGTAAGATAAACTCTGTACTTCTGTTATGTCTCTCTCCAACTAAGAAACCTAGAAGAACATTTGAAAGGAGATTGTAGAGTATAGGTAGATAACTGTGATATGACCCATTTTTTGTCAATGATGTCTGAAAGTTCAATTGTTAGGTTTTGATTGCAGGGTGAAGTCAGAAGGTGTACCTTAGATTTATTTTTGTTTTTCATTATAAGTTAGGTGGTATGTGGCAATTATGTTTGATACCAGAAGTATTATTTTAAGCTAAGTGGTTTAGTTTAGTGAGGTTGTTATTATGTTATATGATTGACTACCAAAGTTATGTTTAGAAGTAGAATAAGAGAGGTAAGGTAAAGAGAGAGGTTAAATTGGGAGCCAGTTCTGGTATTTAAAGTTAATTTTGTTACTTTATTGTAAAAGTATTTGATTGTAGGTATTATAAGTTGTATGTTTAATTGTTTAAGTTTAGTTTGTATGCAGAAAAGGGCAACTCGAATGATAAAAGGGTTGGAACACTTTCCCTATGAGGAAAGGTTAAAGCGCTTAGGGCTCTTTAGCTTGGAGAAAAGACGACTGAGGGGTGACATGATCGAGGTTTATAAGATTATGCATGGGAAAGAGCAGGTAAAGAAAGAGGTACTTTTCTCCCTTTCTCACAATACAAGAACTCGTGGGCACTCCATGAAACTGCAGAGCGGTCGGGTTAGAACGGATAAAAGGAAGTACTTCTTCACCCAAAGAGTGATTAACACATGGAATTCACTGCCACAGGAAGTGGTGGGTGCTACAAGCATGGACGGCTTCAAAAGGGAATTAGATAAGCATATGGAGCAGAGGTCCATCAGTGGCTATTAGCCACAAGGTATAGCTAGGGGCTCTGGGGCAAGTGATGCTTGGGGAGGGGGTCAACAGTGGGGGGGCTTCTAATGTCCTGGCCCCACTGGTGGACCTCCTGATGGCACTGGTATTTCTGTCCACTGTGTGGCACTGGTATTTCTGTCCACTGTGTGACACAGAGTGTTGGACTGGATGGGCCTTTGGCCTGATCCAACATTGGCGTCTCTTATGTTCTTATGTTCTATATGGTAATATATTTCTGAGATTGAAGTAGCAGGTAGTACTCATGAAATGACTATGAATTGAGTGAGGAATAGAAATGGTTTGGAAAGTGCCTGTGTGTAGGCTTCTCTAAAGATATGGTCTTCGGCTGATATACCGTAAACGGAATATAAATGAATTCCATGGTTGACAAGATTAATATTATAATTATTAGGTTATATAAATTAAATTTTGTGGCGATATTTAGGTGTGGGTTAATACTAATAATGATACAGTAAATAAAGAATGAATTGGTAGCTGATGAGTTATTTAAAGAGGTTAGTTAAGTTCATATTGGGCTTCTATTAAAAAATTGAGAATGAAGGAATAGAAAAATAGGGGATGATGTATTAATGAGGTATTTGGTTGAATGGAGTAATTGCAGAAAACTAGAAGTGTAGGATTAGAATAATTGGTGATGATTCTGTATGATGCATTAATTCTTTGAGCATTAGAATAGGGAGAGTAATAATATATTTTTATAGAAGCAATTTTTTTCCTGAACAATGCGATGTGTTGAGAAAATAATGGATGTGAAGATTTATGTATGTTATGTCTGTTTGTGTTTTAAATGTGTGTTTGTCTTCTAAGTATAAAAATCCAATTAAAAAAAAATGACTAAAATGCTCCTCATCAGGGAAGGAGCAAAAATATAAACGGCAAGGGTAGACCATCAAAAGACACAAAACTTTCACAAGTAAACAGTAGACACCAGTCTATTGCAATACAATAACAATAAATTGAAGATACAATAGAATTGGTGGTCACAATTCAGAAACACTACTTGCAAATTCAAAATACAATTTGATGATAGTGAAAAATATCCAACAAGAGACTCCTCTATATCCTTTGAATATAATAGTGTCCAAAAGACCTCAAAGTCTTTTAGCTAGATCTGTTTTAGCTAGATCTGTTTTAGATAGGTTATACATTATGATGTAATTTTAATATTTTGTATTTTTTCTACTGTTTTACTGTTTTATTAATTATATGTTGTTAGCCGCCCTGAGCCTCCGGGGAGGGCGGGGTATAAATACAAATAATAAATAAATAAATACAAATAATAAAGTCCACAAAAAAAGGCAAAGGATGTCCCAAAGCACAAATAAACTTCTAACAGCCGAAAACGTCCTTCCCAGGTAGGCCAGACGTTTCAAAGCAATCTTCTTCAGTCGTACGGCTGAAAATGGAACCCAATTTCCACACTAATGTAGGCACGGCTCATATCTCAAATGGAACTATGGCTTGCCCAAGGTCATCCAGGAGGTGCAAGTGGAGGAGTGGGGAATCAAACCTGGCTCTTCCAGATTAGAGTCCGCGCACTTAACCACTCCACCAAACTGGCTCCTTTGTTTGAGCAGCAGCCACTGGAGGCACACCAGCTCAAAATAAATTTGATAGCTTATGCAATGTGTTGTAAGAAATTCATTACGCTTAATGACAGGCACTGTGAGTAAAAAAAGTCTTTGTAGATTTTTATCTACCAGCTCTCAGGGAGCAAGACTGTAAACATCTACTGGCTGTAAGCATGCTTGTCATGAATTACTAAAATTTAGCCCTACAAGATTTTACTTAATGGTTACCATGAATATTTCAACTACTTTAAAACAAATTGACTACTAAATGTTGTACTTTTTTAAAATGAAGGTTAACTTGTATCACTGACTCTTGGTGGCCCAATAATCATGCCCGTCCACCTGGTAAGCGTCATGTCTTCATCATCTTCAAGGCCCCAGCTTACTGTACCATCTCCTACTCCTTTCTGACCTTCTTCAAGTTCTTCCAGCAAACGAAAATTACGAGGGACTTTAACTATTTGGGGGGAAATGAAGCAATATAAATAACAATGCCCAAAGTTCTAGCTCACCTCATTTCGCCTATTAGCGTGGCAGGTTGTCCATCACAAAACATTCCAAGCCCATAACTTCGCGTAAAACAGTTTTCAGAGTAACACGCTACCTATGAACGACTGAGAAAAACGAACCTGCTCCATTAATGAACGGTCGTGACACAACAGTCTGCATTGTAAATTCTGCGACAGAGCATCACATGGTTTTGACCTGTTGTGAAATTTGGTAGATCCTCAGAGGTTTCATTTTTAAGTGATTGGTTTCAAAGGTCGTCTCAAGTTTTCCGTCTGGGAGGTTGATAAAAGCATGTCTTATTGCTTTCATAAGTTTATTCGGCCATTTTTTTGGTCATGAAATAAAATTCCTTTTTATAAGGCTTTGTAAACACTGCCAGTGAGCAATACGGCGTTTTAGCACATACTCACAGACTTCTGCCTACTTGTCTTGGCTAGAGTTCAAGTGTTCGCATGTGACTGTGAGTCCCTGGGGGTTAATTGTTGCTGCTGAACATCTGCAGCGGAATGGGGGAAAGCAGAACTGACAATTTGGCCCTTTCCTCACTAGACCTTAAATCCTGGTTCAACCCCGTCCTCGAACTCTCATTCTACACTACACTCAAGTTCACCCCTGTAATTATCTCGGGGTATTTCTTGTTTCCACATTGCAATGAGGTCACCCCCGTTTCGCCCCACACCTGTCCTGGGATAAACGGATGCTTTTATAACCAGGGATAAATGCAAGGTAGTATTGTGTCGCGAGTTGAACTCTGATAAAACCAGGGATGAGATCCAAGTGCGGAAAGGACCCTGCCAAAAGACACCCCTTGTCTGATTCCCTTTCCCCCACCTAATTAGTGTCTCCTGGGCTTTGGGGGATTTTGCAGTTTATTCCATCAAATCTTACTAGGGGGCACAGTGGAATTTAAAATGTCATCGTTCACAGCATGCATGCCCTGCAAATGTAGAAGCTTCTATGAGTTACATTATTTTGAGCTTATGGCTTAGGCTAGAGATTTAAGAGAAAAACAAAGCTAATGTGATAGGTTCCCGACAGCAGCATTTGTTTGCTGTTGGTCAAGACCGACGCTCCCCCTAAGCTGTGGAGTCTTGTGAGCAGAAATTCTACTTTGTGAGCGACTGGCGTTAAAGTTGTGAGCGAGCCATTTGGCTCCTGCATACATTAGTTTGCTCTGGAGCCGTCCCTTCCTGAGCTGAGACAAAAATGTGTGAGCCGGAGGCCAAAACGCTGTGAGCTAGCTCACACTAACTCAGCTTAGAGGGAACACTCTAAGGCCATGCAGTGCATCACACTAACTCAGCTTAGACCTCCTTATCCCATTCCATTCAGCAGAGATCTTCTTATTCCATTCATTTAAAAATTCTTCTTTTCTGTCTTGCCTGGGGATGCAAAAGCCGCTTATATCATTCTCCTTCCTTTGTGTTTGCATATAGCAAAAACACATATCCCTCAAGGAAGGACTAAAACAACCCCCCCCCATAAATTCAGCGCCAGTCGCATAATTTCCCAATAAAAAGGCACCATTTCAAGAGGCGCTAAAAGTCAGCGAATCCTAGCGGCAGCCGGAGCGGCTGGTAGATATCCATCAAGTAACACAGTCACATCTGATTCCTTGTGTAGGTCAACTATTACGCAAGTACTCAGTGCCTGCTCTTAAGTTGGTTCGACCACAAGTGTGCTCGTGTGGCTATTTTTGGAGACCGAACTGAGGAAGGTGCCAACTGAATTTAACAGATGACTGCAAGAGAGTAAAAGATGGAAATCTGAACTGATGGACACATGAAGCTTGATTCTCGTGTCCTCAGGTAGTTTACAACTGAGATGTAGGGGCACAGTCTACTCGGGCTGGGCAAATCCATTACTCCTTATCTTAGCCTGATGCAGGACAGCATTTATTTATTTAATTAATTAGATTTAACTAATTTATTTATTTATTTATTAGATTTCTATCCCGCCCTCCCAGCTCAGGGCCGCTCACACACAGAATAAAATTTCAACAATACAATAAGATAAAATCACATCAGTCAAAATAAATACAATTTTTCAACCCTGCCCCCTACCTGGTGGAATGAGCTCCCGTACGAGATCAGGGGCCCGTGGGATCTAGTACAGTTCCGCAGGGCCTGCAAGACGGAGCTCTTCCACTGGGCTTTAGGTTGAGGCAGCGGACGTCCCTCTTCTTTCCTGGCTATCTCCCCCTTAGTGGCCTGGATTTTAACATTGGTACTGCTGAATTGATATTGGTGGCCTGGACTTTAACAGCCTTTTTGGTGGCAGCTCCTACCTGGTGGAATGAGCTCCCGGAAGAGATCAAGGCCCTGCGGGACCTTTTACAGTTCCGCAGGGCCTGCAAGACAGAGCTCTTCCGCCAGGCTTTTGAGTAAGAGCTGCCGCCGCCACTACCACCACCACGCAACTGCGGAGCGGTACCGCCGGGTTGGGCCGATGGAGCAACTGGAACATCGTGGCCCATGGCGTCCCCCTCCTGATATGCAATGGGGAGTGTGTAATTTTTGTCTTCATGTATCCTGTTAGTTGTGAATTTTTTAACTTCAACTGTTTTAATCTGTTTTATCTTTATTGCACTTTGTGCCTTGTAAGCCGCCCTGAGCCTGCGTGCGGGGAGGGCAGGGTATAAATGAAATGAAATATTGTTGAACCGATATCAGAACTAGCTTGTTTGCACAGTATTTTATGGTTTTATTATTTTAATTGTTGGTAATTGTTGTTTTAATGATATTGTACGGAGATCGTTGTGACCCACCCTGAGCCCATTTACAGGGAGGGTAGTATACAAGTCAAATAAATAAACACATTTTAAAACCAAGACACATAAAAAAAATAAACTGCTAGTAGACATTTCCTCATTTTCTGGTCAGCTCCTAGGTCTCCTTCAGCTGCCTAGGGTGATTGGCCCAGGCAGTATCTAGGGTCCAGTGGGTAAGGGGTCCACCATCATAGATGTCAATGGTTGTTCTTGGTGGTAATGGTGGCGGCTCCAAAGGCTTGGCAGAAGAGCTCCGCTTTACGGGCCCTGCGGAACTGTGAGATGTCCCTGGTCTCTTCTGGGAGCTCATTCCACCAGAGTGGAGCCACCACCAAGAAAGCCTTGGCCCTAGTTGTCACTAGTCTGGCCTCCTTGATGCTCGGGAGAGCCAGCCGATTCTGGGTCCCTGACCGCAGCGCTCTCTGGGGTACATATGGGGAAAGGCGGTCCCTCAGGTATGCAGGTCCCTGGCCATAAAGGGCTTTAAAGGTAAGAAACAGCACCTTGAAGCGGACCTGGTATGCTATAGGCAGCCAGTGCAATATCTTTAGCACAGGTAGGATGCGTTCCCGAATCGGGATTCCCATCAGCAACCCGGCTGCGGCGTTTTGCGCCAGCTGCAGCTTCCGGATATGCGACAAGGGCACCCCATGTAGAGGGCACTACAGCAATCCAGTCTCGAGTTGACCATCGCATGGATCACTGTTGCCGGGTCATTGCGTTCGAGGAAGGGAACCAACTGCCCAATCAGCTGTTTATCGACTGCTTTCAGGTGGGGGTGCTTTCACGGCTTCCCCACAAGGGGCTCCGCTTTAAGCAGGACCTCCCAAGTGCACATGGCCAAGTGCGTTGTAGCTGGGGTGGTGGTGGGATTTTAAACAAGCAAGCATTTACCCCACTATCATCAGGCTGCAACAAAAGCAGTCCCTTCCTCCTTTACCTACGAGGCATGGCTTTAGTGTGCACGATTAGCAAAGCGAGCAGTTCCTGTTTTGGAAAGGGGGGGGGGAAAGCTTACAAGAAATCTTGTTAAAATTGCCCTCCTCTTGTCTCCAACGAAGACTTATAGTGCCCCGTGGTTGCCATGGGAAACAATTTTTGAATCAGAACCTCTCAAAATATAACCTTACGTTACAGACTGAAATAAAGGGATTTTGTATACTGTTTAAATTAACTGCCACCACCCCTCATTGCCTTTGTTTGAACCTAGCTAGGTCACCAACTACAAAACAGGAAACGTTTGTGAATACACGCAACGTTTATAATATTGGTACATCGCCTTAGATCCACTTTCTGAAGTATTCGACAGGTGAACAAGTGTTGTTGCCTAAGGAGTGGTCATCGACCACAACAACAGTCCCGTAAGCATTTAAAACATCCCAGCAGAACTAGAGCCATCTTTCCCCCACAAAGATCGCTAAATGCTATAAGCCCAACATTACCTTTTTTTAAATTGCGGGCTGACAGATTAAACCACTGTGCTAGGATCACTCGCATTATGCCGACAAGGTGCAAAATGATTACTACACAAATTATTGTTAACTCAAGCATTATACAAACATTGCAACAACAATCCCTGCGCTTCTTGATGCATACAATTAGGAACAGTGGTTATCAACAGAAACGGGTGCACAAAATATTATTTTGATCAATAACTGGTACTGCAGATGTTAACGGTCGACTTGTGGTTGCTTTTTCACTGAAGCCAATAAAGTTTTGAAAACTGGCCCTTGATTACAGCCGAGTAAATATATTCTTTCAGGATGACTGAGAAAAACAAGGCCTGAAAAGTGATGAGTTTTAAGTATGGGAAAGAGGACTGGAAAACAAATCGTGACTATGCTATTAGCACCAGCTGCTCTCCTGCAAGCAAAATTACCCTGGTAGGATTGTGTTCAGTTTGCTTTTCTGACTGCATCCAGTCTCTTTTAACGCTAAAGCTTCACTCCTCAAACGTAATGTCACAAAATCATTGACGTCACGGCTACATGCTTCCTGAAAACGAAAATATATCTAGACTAGGAGAGGTTTCCTAGGCTGTAAGGAACATAAACACATCAGGCTTGTTATTTAGGTACTGGGTTGCCATTGGCTACCAAAAATTGCCCCCAAGTGATCAGGTGGTGATTAAGAGTGCCTGCTTTACAGAATTTAGGCCAGCCCAAGTATAGCCCTTA